TTTCTCCAAGCTAAAGAGCCCTAAGCGCTTTAACCTTTCCTCATAGGGAAAGTATTCCAACCCTTTTATCATTCGAGTTGCCCTTTTCTGCACTTTTTCCAAAGCTATAATATCCTTTTTAAGGTGTGGTACCAATGAGGGCTGACCCTGTTTAACTTCCAAGATCTAGTGAGATCAGGGTAGCCTGGACTATCCAGCTCAGGGCGAAAATTCATTGCCACTGCTAAACACATATAAAAGATACATGTAACGATTCCTTGTTTCTGTGTGTGTGTGTCTCTTTAAAAGTTTGGTATCATGGCTGTGGTAGATAGACTAGAGTGATTGAAAGAGGCAAGTGTGGTATGATTGGTGGTTGACAGAGAGGGGGAGGGGCTTTGGAAGTGAATCTGGTTGGATGAGTATGTGAGTCAGTCAGTAGTTTCAGTTAGATGTTGACAGTTGATGTTCAGTTGGTAGTTAGTTAGTTCTGGGTGGAAGCAGTTAGAAGGACAGCTGCGGTTGTTCAATGAAAAAGGGAAGGAGATCTAAAAGCTGAATGTCTAGGAAAAGTAAAGTAAAGTAAAGTTAAGTGAAGAAAAGTTATAGGAAAGTCTGTGTGTCATAACAGACTGGAGTGGAACAGTAAACGTATATGGCATTGAGATAAACAAGTGTTACAGTGTTACATGCAAAGATCCCTGTCAGTGAGAGAGAAGATTGTGTGGGATACCAAAGAAATTGTTCAGTATTTACACATTACTAGTTACATTGTACTACCCTCTTATTCATGCTTTATTTTAATAAATCCTCTTTCATTCAAGTATACCAGCTCTGAAAGAAATACTTCCCAGGACCACATAGTTCCTCGTAAGCCTTGAACTCGGTCTACCTAACCAGTAAGAGTAAAAGTAAAAGCATAAAGGTTTGGAAATCCTTAAAATTTCCTGGTGGCAGCAGATTCTACCCTGTTAAACAAATTAGCGAGAACTTTTAAAGAGAAACCAATCCTCCCCAATAAGGAGGACGTCACAAGTGGTGCTTGGTGGCGGGATACGAACATCCTGAGGAAGAGAGCATATATTAAGTGAAAAATGGCAGAGTTTTTAGGATTAAAGAAAGAGGCTTTAACCCAAAAATGTATAGAATTAAATTTACCTCATGAAGGGAAAAGTGCAGAAGAGATGAGAGCTAGCCTGATTCAAAACGTTGTAGAAAATAGCAAAAGTGATAGTGAGGGAAAGTTTAACCCCAATCCAGACTATTTGGAGTTTTTGAGAGAAAAACACAGAGATGATTTAGAGAATAAGGCTAAAGAGAGGGAGCTGAAAATTAAGGAAATAGAGCAGGCAACAGCACTTAAGAGATAGTGAAATGGAAAAGTGGAAGGTTGAAACTGCACTTAGAGATAAGGAAACAGAATTTAAGAATAAGGAAATAGAACTGACGACTGCCCTTAGAGACAGAGAGCTACAATTGGAAGCAGAGATATTGCATTTACAAGCAGAGAAATTTAAACTGGAAGAGAAAAAGGAGGGAAACCTAGAGGGTAGATATGATAACCCTCGAGTTACACCAAAGGATTTTATAATGTATGTGACAGGAGAAGATCCCCAAATCTTTCTGTCAACTTTTGAAAAATCTGCTCAAAATTGGCTGAAGATGGCGGAAATAGTGGAGACGGCGACAGTGGCGGCAACGATGGCGGCGGCGGCGATCCTGGCGTGGACGGCATTGGTGGTGCGGCGAGCAAGGCGGCGGCGAGCAAGGCAAGGTGCGCGTTTGAGCGATCCCTGGCGGCGGAGAAGGAGTACACCGAGGGCTGCGGTGAAGAGAGAAGAAAGGGGCGTGTGCAGATGCCGAGTTCCGGCTCAGCGGAGCCGGAAAGGACGTGGCTGGGCCGGAAAGTAGGGATTCTAAAGAAAAATTAAGGGAGCTGATTATTCTAGATCAATTCCTTTTCCAACTTCCCTATGTCCATGAAAAGCATTTCCTTCCTTTATTAACTTTACCCCCTGTGTAGATTCTCTCCTCCCCAGTCCAGTCCAGGAATGGAGGGGAAAGAATTCTACACTGGAACAATGCATTACACAAGAATCCAGAGAGATAACCTCTCTGAATTTATACACTCAATTTTAAAATCACAGTCTGCTACCTGGTTCAAATCATTTAAGAATGACCATTTTTAGATCATTTTACCTGGTTAACTTAGATAATCATAACCTTAGAGCAGCTTTTACATCTCTGCGTTTTGAATCAATGCCTACGGCCGTATTAGCTGGCCGCTATAGTAGAACACCCAAGGAACAGCGTTTATGTATTTGTGGCTCTTCTGATATAGAGGATCTCTCCCATTACATTCTTGATTGCCCATTGTATTCCCAACCTAGGTCAAAATTTCTATCTGGTATTTTATCAGTTTTAAGTTCTTATTCAGTCCCCGAGAAGATGATATTTTTGCTAGCTGATGCCAATGTAAATGTATCCTATAGAATGACTTTATTTGCTTTGGCGGCAAGGAAGATACGGGCCAATACTGTGCTTTTATGTATCGAGACGGTTTTAAATTGTATAATATGTTTTAAATTTTACTAAATTGTATTTGATGTTTTATTATTGCAATATCTTTTGCTATGTAAGCCGCCCTGAGCCCTA